AACTTTCCTGGCACGCGCAAAGATTTGAATCCGCCGCTTATTCTCGTAACTAATGGATAATGCATGCTATTAGTTGCACTTTGTCATATCTCGCAACGTAACTCGGCCTCTGTTGCGCATAACATTCACGCGCTCCCGACTCCGATTTTATTGGTTTGCGTTTGCGCAATTCGAGTCCTGGCCACCACTTGGACGCGCCCTCGCTCAACACCACGAGTTGAGCTCAAGACCAGGCGTGACCCCTCTAATCTAACTCAGCATCATATTCTCCCGCCACGACTACACGCCTTCCGCTATCTTTTCCTAGACACCCGGCTGTGCTGCCCCACGACCTCATCATGGGCAAACTTATTCGTCTGGAGTTGTTCAGTGTGTTTTCCCTCACGAGCAATCTCAGACGAGACGAACGCCGTCTAAGCTAACCTGCGCTACAGACTTCAAATCGTACAAAGGGCATCATGTCCTTCTCTTCGGAGACTCGTACTTCACCTCTATCATTGGACCCAATGGATCCGGCAAGTCGAACTCGTATGCCGCTTCTCCTGCTCTCCAGTGAGCTTTTCTAACATAGCTCTAGCATGGACGCCATATCTTTCGTCCTGGGCATCAAATCCTCGCATCTACGCTCCGCCCACCTCAAAGACCTCGTTTACCGCGGACGAGTCCTAAAAACAGCCAAGATCAATGATGATGGTTCTGCGCAGACCAATGGCGACGCAAACGGTGACGCTGATGGTAACGATAAAGCCTCCCGTGGCGACCCCAAAACGGCATGGGTTATGGCTGTGTACGAAGACGATGCTGGCGAGGAGCAGAAATGGAAGCGCTCCATCACGAACCAAGGAGCCAGCGAGTACCGAATCAATGATCGCGTTGTCACAGCCCAGCAATACAACGAGTCTCTTGAGAGCGAGAACATTCTTATCAAGGCGCGAAACTTCCTCGTATTCCAAGGAGATGTTGAGGCCATTGCTTCGCAATCCCCTCAGGACCTCACGCGCCTGATCGAACAAATCTCGGGAAGTCTTGAGTACAAGACAGAATATGAGAAGACACAGCTCGAGGCTGAACAGGCTGCCGAGAACCAGAACTTCCAGCTTCATAGACGACGTGGCATCAACTCGGAAATTAAGCAATACAGGGAACAGAAAAAGGAAGCAGACAACTTCCAGAACAAGACTGATGAGCGCGATGCAGCAATAGTTACACATAGTTTGTGGAAGCTTTATCATTTCCAGAAAGCCATGGAGGATTCGTTCGCCGCCATACAGGATCATCAGGAAAACCTCAAAGAATTGCGCCGCAACGTGGAATCTTTCGAGAAGAGGCTTGAGGCAGCCAGGAAGGAACAGGCTTCCGCTAACAGGCAAGTCGCCCGTCTAGACAAAGAGATCAAGACCAAAGAAAGAGATATCGAGGATAAAGAGAACAGTCTTGTTCCCATCGAGGAAAAGATCAATGAATCTACACAGGCAGTCGAAACACTCCAGGCTGCGATCGCCAAGGCCATCAGGGAACGTGATGAGCAAGCCGAGGTTGTTCGCCAGGTCCAGAAGGATATTGAAAGCGTAGAGAAGGCCCGGCAAGTTTTCGAGAACGACTATAAAGAACAAATGAAGAAACAAGGCCGCGAGATCAGCGATGAGGATCGCCGAGAGTACAACAGACTGCGCACTCAGCTCATGTCTAGGACTGGTTCCAACCAGGCCAAGCTTGAGAACCTCGACCGGCAGCGCAAAGCAGATGAAGTCACCGTCAATAATCTGAAAGGCAAAGTCGATAGCATTGTGGCAAACATCGAAAAGATTGAGGCAGAACTATCAAACATCGAGGAACGCAGATCTGCAGCGCAGGCGACCTCTAAAGACCTCTCGCAAGAGATTGACGCTAAAAAGAAGGAGTTCAATAAACTCCAATCAGAACGCGTCAGGACCAATCAGAAGCGAACTGAGCTTGAGGAGAAGCTTGAGGATGTCGCTAGAAAGCTCAGAGAAGCTGATGATGGCCGGCGCCAGAACGATAGGGAAGCTAGGATGAAAGAGATGGTAACTTCCTTGAAGCGCATGTTTCCCGGTGTCCGTGGTCGAGTCGGTGACCTATGCAAACCCAAGCAGAAAAAGTTTGATGAAGCTGTCATTGTGGCGCTTGGAAGAGACTTCGATGCTGTCGTTGTCGACTCTGAGAAAATCGGTGTGGAATGTGTTCAATACCTCAAAGAACAAAGATTTCAGCCCATGACATTCATCCCTCTGGACAACATCAAGGTCAACGCAGTCAACACAGCCGTCAAGGGTTTTTCTGGCGCTCGGCTGACGATTGATACCATCGACTTTGATTCTTCTGTTGAGCGTGCCATGTCGTATGCATGTGGAAGCTCTGTTGTGTGTGACACTCTTGATATTGCGAAGCACATTTGTTACGAAAAAAGGATACCTGTCAAAGCTGTGACACTGGAAGGCTACATCATCCATAAAGCAGGCCTGATGACAGGTGGCCGTGGACCCGAGTCGAAGAGTAAGAGACGTTTCGAGGAGGCAGATGTTCAGAATCTTCAGCGAATGGCCACCAAGCTTAAGGATGAGATTGACCGACTACCCAATGCTGACCGCCGGGGCTCACAAGAAGAAACTCTTCAGATTGACCTGTCCGGGCTCGAAAGACGGTTGGCAGCCGTTAAAGATGAACTGGCAGCCTTCAACAAGAACCATGCTAGCAAGAAACGTGAGCTGGACAACCAGAGGAGGCAGCTTCGAGAGCTCGAGCCCAAATACCAAGATCAGGCATCCCAGCTTGAAAGCACCACTGCCACGTGCGAAGAATTTCGGAATGCCATCGCACGAGTTGAAGATGACGTGTTTGCAGATTTCTGCAGACGACTCGGTTATAGCGATATTCGCAGCTACCGTGACTCGCAAGGCAAGCTGGAGCAGGAGGTCTCTGAAAAGCGCAATGAATTCGAAGTCCAAAAGCAAAAACTGTCGAGTCGACTCCAGTGGGAGCAGCAACGTTGGGAGACTGCCACTGCGCGAATCGAGCGAAACCAAGCCCATGTCCGAAAGCTCAGAAACGATATCAAGTCCTATGCAAGAGAGAAGGATGCGATTGAGAATGCGATGAGCGAGGAGCAGGCAGAGTTAGAAGCTCTTCGCGAGGCACTAGACGAGAATAAGTCAGAGCTCACCGAAAAGAACCAGAAGGTGTCGGAGGCCAAGCTCGAAGTGCAAAAGCGGTCAAAGGACATCGAGGCTCATCTGAAAGATATCAACTCACTCGAAACCGTAGTTCAGAAGAACAGCGCCAGCAAAGCGGCACTACTTCGACGATGCCGACTAGAGCAGATCCGCATTCCGCTTGCGGAGGGCACATTGGAGAATCTACCCAACGACGACCGTCTGCTTAATCAGGACCCAGATGCCATGGACATAGATGATGAGGACGACGATGAGGAGATGATGGGCATGGCACTTGATGATCACGGCATTACCATTGACTTTAGTGGACTTGATGAAGAACTGAAAGTTGTAAGGACTAATGTTTCTTTTTCCAGCTAGTGAGTGATACCGCTAACATTATGCAGTCGGATGACCCGAGCGTCGAAGAAAGTCTATCAGAGAAGATCACGAATCTGACATCGGAGCTCGAGAAGTTGAACCCCAACATGAGAGCAATGGAAAGATTAGAAAGCGTCGAGTCCCGGCTGAGAGTCACAGATCAGGAGTATGAAGACTCAAAAACAGCGGCACACGAGGCCAAAGAGGTCTTCAACCGGGTCAAGCAAAAAAGATATGACCTCTTTAACAAGGCCTTCAGCCATATCCAGGAGCAAATATCACACGTGTACAAGGATCTCACCCGGTCAGAAGCATACCCTCTTGGTGGTCAAGCCTATCTGGACATCGAGGAAGACACGGACATGCCCTATCTGTCCGGTATCAAATATCATGCCATGCCGCCTCTGAAGCGTTTCAGAGATATGGAGCACTTGTCTGGAGGCGAAAAGACAATGGCAGCACTGGCACTTTTGTTTGCTATTCACAGCTACCAACCTAGTCCCTTCTTTGTTCTCGACGAAGTAGACGCCGCGTTAGACAACGCCAACGTGGACAAGATCAAGAAGTACATCAAGGACCACCGCGGCCCCGGCATGCAGTTCATCGTGATCAGTCTCAAGGCAGGCCTGTTCCAAGACAGTGACAGTCTGGTGGGTGTTTACCGAGACCAGGAGGTCAATAGTTCAAGAACCCTTACTCTAGATGTGAGTTTCCCTATTCTACTGGCCTTGACGATTTTTGACTAACATGGAACAGCTGCGGCAATATGTGTAGGTGAGGCTAGGGCAGTTAGAATCTTTGTGATTATTCCTCTCGGGCCTGAGGGGGAAAGTTGGGTGTCTGGCGTATGTCATCGTGGAAGAGGCATGTCATTTCGTATGGGCCAATGAATTCATCATGTCTTTCAGCACCGCAACACCGAGTTGAGCATGAATAATGCCGGCCTAATGATGCTTAGTGATGAATCTATTCATTCATATTATCTTTAACTTTTCTCCGACTTTTGTGACTTCTGTTGAACAGATATAAGAAGCAGTCAAAGAAAGGTTCTACTTTATGCCAATGCCTTTGGCTTGCCTCGCGTGAGTGCATTGCTTTGTATTGTCAGATGAACGTGGCTATTGAGGTATCTCAAAGAAGTGCTCATGGCAGAATGATGGTTCCCATTGGCATCTGACTAAACGACACTGCATATTTCAACCCGCATCGTGACCACCTAGCTCCAAGTCTTGATTGCTACTAGGTAGGTATTTCCGCCTGAAACTCTTCCTTTACCTCATACCTTATGAACACCTAGGTAGTACTGCAGGCAGGCAGGCAGGCAGCTGTGACTCTTCTCTTGGTTGCCTGCAGTTTTTATAACGGGTTCTGATTACGTCATCACACCTTTAATTCATCCTCCTGCACTTGATATACGCGATCACATTCTCGCATTAAACCAACATCATCATGGATCTCGCAATCACACTTATCAAGTCCGTTGCGCGGGCATTCTACGAAACCCGCGACATACTTGTGATTGATGCGCTTATTCTGCATGAGGCGTGAGTATGACTATTACACTCCTGTGCTGGAAAAGTACTTGCTTGCTAACCACGGTGTCTTGCTAGGCTTCGAGACGATGATTTGGCCTACTTGATGTCTACCAACACAAAGGAACTCCACAAGATATGCGGAAAGCTACGTGAGGATCGATTTTTGGTGGTGTATGTGAAGGGAATCTTCGCCGAATAGCCCTTGACTGACTGGACCTGGGGCAGACACACACGATCAGAGCTGCGAGAAGGCAACCCAAGACCGAGCAACAAAACATGGTATTACATCGACTACCGAGCCACAATAGACGCCATCAAATGGCGCGTTTACACTATCGATAAAGAAGTACAGGGTACTACGCAAGTCGCGAGCGAGAAAAAAGAGTACTTTTGCTCATTTTGCAAAGCAGAATGGACGGCGATGGAGGTTCTGGACAACGTTGGCCCGGAAGGATTCTTATGCCATCGCTGCTCTCATGTTCTGACCTTTGAGGCCGACCGGACGTCGACTGGGCACGAGCAGTCAACGCGACTCAATGACCAGTTCAAATTCATCAGTGAACTGCTTCCCAAGATCGATGCCGTCCACATTCCTGAATGCGACTTCGATCGCGCATTTGCTAAAGCACGCCCGGTGAAGCGCGACGAAACACATCAGCGCGCTCAGACTACTGCAGTAGACTCTGGCGCGAACCGACCTATGGCGGTCAAGGGCTTGACCAACACAGGGCCACAATCGATTGCAGTTAACATCTCAACATCGGATGGCCCTACAGAAGCCGAGAAGGCGGCAGAGCAGGCGCGCAAGGAGCAGATAGCGAAGCAAAATGCGCTGCCATCATGGATGTCTAATAGTACAGTCACTGGGGAGTCCTTCTCAGCAGGCGCTGCTCCTGGCACTGCATCAGTCGTCAAGAAGGAGTCCAGCAAAGATGCCGGCCCAGCAGCACCGGCCGTGGCCAATGCTCAAATAGACGATATATTCGAGAAGCTCAAGGCGGAGATAGCACAAGAAAAATCAGAGGAGGAAGAGGACGACGAAGAAGAGGAAGACTTATTCGAAGATGTCCCTGCCGCCAAGAAAGTGAAGCTGGCTGGACCAGATACTCAAGAACAAAAAGAAGACGAAGACAGCGAGGAGATAGAGTTTGAAGACGTTTAGAACCCATGAAATTGTCCGGTAATGGCCAGACTCCTTGTTCTTGTACATAAATAGCCACTCTATCATCTAATATTCTTATTCTAAATCCAGTTCCTGTCTAGCCTAACCAAGCCCGGCCATGCTTTTGAAAAAAAAAAAAAAAAAGGCCAATGCTATGCCCGAGGTATCAATACTTGCCCAAGCACATATTTGAACGCCCCATTGTATGCCAGTAAAAAAAGAAGTCGCTTTCATGATGTTTACACCTGTCCCTGATGAGATCCAGGTCGTTCATTTCCTGTTTTCCGATGCTGCACATCACCTTGCAGTTTCTACGCCGCGTCGCATCTCCAGTTGAGATGTCTTGCATGTTCGTGGCAACTTGGCCAACGGTAATTCGGTGTCATCGAGAGACGAGCATGAAATCTCAGACATGCTACGCTTCAAGCCTGTCAAGGCTCCAACGATGTTGCCGGCGGGCGGTGACTCGTCACCTTCATCGCCGTTATCCCTGGACGACGGGTCTTGTTCGTCCTTTTTGTCGAGTACGCTATCGCGCTCCCATGCGGACTCCAGCCCGTCTAGATAGACTGGGGACCTCTTCAAGAAGTTCCAAGATAAGGAGTCATGCTCCATTGCTATATATAATGAGTCCATCTTGCCACTAGCATCCAGCACGGCGCAGTGTTGCTTGAGGAACGCGCGGTCGTACGAACCGTGGATGAGCCTGGCCTCCAGGGGTCGTAACATTGGCAGGCCTTGTAGACGCTCAGCATCGCAAAGCTTTGCTTGCAATGGAACCCACGGCCGTCCTTTGAGTAGGGGTTCAAATGCTCGTGATACAGCCTCTGTGACAGACTTGGCATCGTCTCCTTCCACTGCGAGCATACGATGAAGTCCACGGGACAGACATCTCTTGTATGAGGTTGTATCCTTTTCAAATGGGAAGGGTGTGTCCTTGGAAGGCATTAAGGACACATGCACTGTCCATGACCTTGGACGTTCGGTCGAGGCGGTAGGTTTTATCGGCAAGCTGTGCGTTGAGTTCAACGGCAGCTGGGAGGGGACAGTGGTTGTGGGCGAGAGATGAAAGGTGTTGACGGTGGCGTTGCTTAGATTTGGGTCTTGGGGAGGAGACAATAAAGGCTCGGCACTCTCCAACTTTTCGATCCTTTCTTCCAAGCATTCGTCGCTATCTAGTAGCTCAAGTTGACGATTGCGCAAATCGTCCACTTCGCTCCCTGTCCTTGCCAGCTGTTCGCCTTGAGATCGAAGGGTTTGTTCCAAGCCTTTAATCTGTTGCTGCAATTGTGTAACAAGCGCCCATGCAGCAGATGCGTTGCGGTATGAGCCTTTGAGTTCAGTATCGGTTTCGTCCTTGTTCTTCTCGACCGTCTCCTCCAGCTCGCTGATGCGACGAACAACATGGGAGAGTCGATCACGGTCTTGTGGGTTCGCGAGTTCTTCCAAGGTTCGTACTCGCTGTTGAATCGCATCGATCTCGGACTTGTTAGTGCTTGGTGTTGGGGTATCGGCATTGGCGACGTGAAAGCAGGATAGATGCCCACAGTTGCAAGTGGCGCCAGGTAAAGATTTGTTGTGGTCGAACCCCATGCAGCCGCACCGCTGGCCCTTGAGCTCAGGTATCATGAGGATGTAGCGACATTGACCCTTGGGTAACTGAGACTCGTCGGGCTGCGGCGTCGAGGCCGGTGGGGGAGAGCGAGAGGGTGAGGGTGACATTAAGTTGCGTCAAACCAAGGTGTCGAAGAGAGGAATCGAGGTTGGGATAGGTCGTCCATGGAAATGTCGGTGGCAGTAGGAGCCTGATATGGACAGAATGGGTACGGATGGGTATGAAAGGGTACGGGGTAGTCTTTTAGATATGAGAGATGGAGCATGGAAGAAGAAGAAAACAACAGCAACCTGTACTGTAGGTAGGCACGGCAGGACAAGGCAAAGGCAGGGCAAGGTAGGCGGGCGGCTCTAATCATAAAGCAGGGCGATGTCGAGATTTGGACCCCCAGGGATGTTGGGGTTGTGTGATTCCGCCTGGCCGCGTTAGGACGGTACCTAAGTCCAGGCGGGTGTACCAGAGGACAGTGGCATAATACACGTGAGAGGCTGTAGACTGTTAACGGTTTCTAGTTATATCCAGGGTCCGCTTTTGAGACGTTATCATCCGCTCTCGTCTCGCCATCAAGACAACCCACGAATCTTAGACCGGCTGCGCCCGCAGGCCGGCTGATGGCATCACAAACTCCCACGTTGAAGACCCGCAGGTGGTCATGGCACCACAAGCCGACGATTATAGACAGTGGGGGTTAGCCGTGTCTAACAGTGACTGCTTGAGGTACATGCCCAGTAACACCGAGAGGATAAAAGCAGAGATTTGCCCGTGCCCATGCCCATGACCACGATCAAGAACCTCCTCCATGTGTTGTACATAGGTAGAGCCACGGAACGCGGTGAGAACAATCACAACTCCAGTCCAGTGCCAGAAGAAATCTAGGTCCACGCTAGACTACGGGGAGCTCAGGGGATGCAGTAGAGCCCCAGCTAAGAGAAGATAGCGCCGTTATCTTTGTTGGTCTGTTGTCAAGTTCCAACTCTTCGCAGTGTCGTACTGTATGTATGTACGTAGACGCAGGACCCTCAAACCAAATCTTGGTTACCTGGCGCAAGGCGCGCTGTTTTCTTGTCGTCTTGTCTTGGGACCCCTGGCCCGGAAACTACGAGAAGATATGTACATATCCCACATCAGAGTCCGATTGATAAACAAAATGTCTCAACTCTGACACGAAAAGCTTGGCTGATCGTGCCGCACCCTTTTCCCAGTTCCCATTGGCCCTTGAGACTTGGTCCCTGAAGCCATCGACTTGATCAAGGTCGAGACGGAGACTATCAAGAGGCAGAAAGTCGAGACGAGTCGCGTTGGAGGGCGGCCACGCGATCTGTGACGGGCGGGCGCAAGAAGTCAAAGACTCAAGAGTTGATACATACTGCATGTATGTATCAACCAGGGCCCTTGCGCAATGATTGTGATCGTGGCCGGAATCGCAATGGTGATTGATGGAAGCATCTGCATGGGGTCTCACAGATTAGCAGACCTCCTCTGGCTGGCCCACCCCCACACCCTCTTTGTTGCCAAGCCTGCCACTTTCTTTGGACGGGAGTGACAAAATTTGACTCTTGGGGGGTAGTTCCCGCACCCGTACCCGTCCATTAACTACTAGGTAGTACCTATAAAATTATGAATGTGAATGGCCCTTATCCGTCCCTCCCTACCCTACCTCCTCGCCTACTCGCTACTCAGTCACCTCTCCGGTCTGGCGGGCCCCCGGTCCGTAGCTAACTAAATAATAATAGCGGGAGGGACCCGATGGCAATGGGCGGGAGGGCAAACCCGTCATCGGATTGGATGACTTTGTCGGTGTACTGTCCCGTGGGTTTTGTGTAGGTACATACTCATACTTTAGAAGAGGGAGCCCCCAAAATGCGGTCGAGAAAAGTGATGTGCTCTTGACTCGTTGCATGAGATGGCCTCTTCCTCCATGCCCCCCTGGGTCCCAGGTGTTTCAGATAGTTATCGGATGCATGTAAGTTAGAGGTCGTGCGTGGTACGGTCGGTATGTAGGCCTTATCGGCGCCCTACTGTTGATGCAAGGTTATCGACCAAGTTGCCCGCACGCATGTGATCCCTCCCCAGGTTCTGATCAGAGGTTGGTTCCTTGCAAACCATACATAGCAATTCGCGTTGTCCTGCTCAGTACGGGCATGGACCTCCAAATTGAACATCAAGGCCGGTTGGAACCGGTGGACTAAGTGAGATTGTCCAAGGCCCCATCTTTGCTATGGGTCATGCCAAATTCAAATTCATCTCCATCAACCCTGAAACGTACATAGCAATTGAGAACAGCCTGAACTGTATAGAGAGGTAGGTACATACATACATACATACATACATATCAGTACGTAACGGCCATCAGGGTGGGTTATGTGCTGCAGCAAAAGCACAGCAGAAGTAAGAAGCCTTGACCCCTGGCACCCCTGGCTCTACTGTATGTAGCTCAAGGTGGTTAGCAGTGGGCTCTGGAGGATTTCTTTGCCCACGTGCAGTCTCTTGGGACAGGCAACTCCTTGCCACCTGCGAACTACCAATGCACACGGTAACTACTGATGGAGTGATCTCGGGCCTGTATGTTGCAAGCCGTGACTTTGACCAGCGACGCGACGCACCTCGAGTTGCTACTCGTAAACAACTATGGGTAATTTCGGAACTGCTGTCAACTCCCTGTTAGGCACTTACACCAAGTGCCTGTCTCTTCTCAAAGGCTTCCCTAAGGATGAGGATTCGGCGACATTGAGTGAGACTCGCTCGACACTGAGCACCTCACTTCGGTCTGACAGAGCTCGAGTGCGTCGAGAATATGCTTCGCGACTTTCACAAGATGGTTCTCGGTTTGAAAAAGGTGATGGTAAGTCACTTCTATCTGCATTAGTTTCGTATTTAAATGCATGAGTTGTTATTCTGAAGCCTGTCCCAGCTCCTGCACGATCGGCTCTTAGACGCATTGTGAGGAAACTCACAAACACCCTGGCCGACGTAGTCCGCTCATTTCATGACCCTAAAGGACAGCCGATCAATTGCGAGTCTCTTCTAGCTCTATCCACGGGCTCAAGTCTAGACGCCGTTCGCGCGATGAGTGACTTGTCAACCAGAGTAGGATCAACTTCAAGTTCCAGTTCACGGGGTAGCATCGTGAGCAGAGGACGACAGAGATCCCGCCGTCATAGCCAGAAAGCCGGAACCAAGTCTAAGAGACGGTCAACAGAAGAGCGGTCTAAGCGTGACAAGACCAGAGGCAAGAAGTCCACGAGCCATAGCCATAGCCGGAGACGTACGTCCTCCGATCGGCGGCATTATCAACATGGTTCGACCAGCCGGCACTCGCCGGAAATAAAAGGGCCTCATAACCGAGTCTCCATAGTGACCATTGCTTCGGATTCCACCAAGCTGGGAGAGATCAGGCGGCGCTTGTCGAAGCAGATGCCTTTGGAGGAATATGAGAACATGGCCGCTTATCCATTGTATGCCTACCATGCCCAAGAGGCACCAGTGCGTAAGAAATGGTGGAATCCTTTCAGGCGCTGATGACTGGCGAAAGCTACTTTTGACTTGGATTTCATGTATATGATACCCGATGATGTATATGGATATTGTTGTTTCTTGATTGTCTACCCTTACAATATTGAAGCTGTTACTCCGTCGGCTTGAGTGAGATCTTGTTCTCATTACGCACACCAATGAAAGAACACCCTCGACTGAGCCACTCTCGAGGGGACTGAAAAGCCCTCCTAGATAAGGTAAGGAACTGAAGAATATAAATTAGTGGCTACGAACCCAATTTCATATTGTATACACCTTTGTACACATAAAGAGCTTGTCGGCTTTAGCTTATCCATCCTACAACGTATTCATACAGCCAAGTATTTAAGACATAAATACCTATCAACTTGCATCACGAATAAGTTCATTGAGGAAGAATCAAAAGTAGTGACGAATGCATTTGAAATTTTTTTTTGCATGATGTTTTCTCATTTTCCTTCCCATATAAAAAACCTACCTACCTTAGTACCTATATACGGAATATAAAGGTCCTTAGGTTAGTACGAGTATACTTTCTGCACTGTGCAGGACACTGTCGAGGCTGCAAAGCCACAGAAAGAGCTTAGAATTCTTCTACTGTGCCCCGCTGTCCAAAACTGCCCCGCCAGCATCACGACTGGACTGGACTGGACTGGACGAACACACGACAGGTCATCGCATTGAGCTCGACCACGACCACGAGCGAAGAGCATCGAAAACGCACAAGATACAACCGATTCTCTCTCTGGTCTCACCCCATTCCCTCCCCATCTAACCGTGTTGCTATCGACGTGACCCCTCACGGATATGCCTTCGTCTTGATAGCATCGCCATCATGCCTCAAGACCCTGCTGCCGCCCTCAGCGCCTTGTTGCGCCAATCCTCCGTCGAAGATCACGACGAGGCCCTCAAGATTGCCAACGCTGCACTCAAAGCTAACAAGAACGATGTCGACAGCCAACACACCCGTATCATTGCCTTGCTGAAGCTCGATCGATTCGACGATGCTTTGCGCGCCATTGCTGATGGCTCCCCCGCCCTCCACGCACGAATTGCCCTCGAACATGCCTATGCTCTCTACAAGACGGGGAAGCTTCATGAGGCTACTTCTGTCCTTCAGGCTTTCGGTCTAGAGAAGAAGAGGAGTCTACAGCATGTTGCCGCACAAGTTGCTTACCGTGCTGAGCGCTTCGATGAGGCTTGCAACATCTACAGTCGTCTACTCGACACCCATCCCGCAGATGAGGAGAACGATATCAGCATCAACCTTCGGGCCGCTTTTGCCCAGTCTAGTTGGTTGGGATACTCGGTCACTGACAAGATTTCCGTCCAAGACTCTGATGGATTTGAACTGTGTTATAACGCTGCATGTGCACATATTGCCCACGGCTCTCTTGAGACTGCAGCCGATCTATTGCAGCGTGCAAGTCGACTGTGTGATGCCTCCGATGATTTGACAGATGAGGACAAGCAGGCGGAAATGCGGCCGATTCTTGCACAGCAGGCCTACGTCTTTGCCAAGTTGGGCAAGCTCAAGGAGGCTCTCGATCTCTATAACTCTCTATCAAGCGCAAAGTAGGTTTTACTGCAATTATGCTCAGGGCTGAACTGACTATCATGGGCAGAGAAGAAGATCCCGATCTGGCACTAATAATTGGCAACAACCTGGTCACTTTGGAGCCAAAGGATGAGAACCCCTATCTTCTCGAGCGAAGATTCTCGACCCTGACGGCCGAGGCAAGAAATGCCAAGCTCTTCCAGCACCAGTCTGATATCTTGCGACGCAACCGACTAACCGTCGACTTGCAAATCCTCAAGGGTGCCGGAGTCAAGCGTCGCACAGATGCCCTTCTCGCCGAAGCAAAACATCCCTTGACAGCTGCTGAAACTAGCATCCTCTCTGTTCTTAACGCTGCCGCCAGCGCACAAGGAACATCCGGGAAGCAACTTCTGAACAATTTACAAGGACTGACCCAGAAGAGACCACATGATGTCGGTCTAGTGTTAACTATTGTGCAAATACAACTCAATGAAGGAAAAGTAGGCTCTGCTCTGTCTATTCTTGAGTCTTTCCTCCAGCGTCTCGAAAAGAACGAGACTGATGATTCTCAAAATGCTCGATTCAGCTCTGGTCTTGTTGCCCTTACTGTGACCCTTTTGAGGACACAGGGGCGGGAATCTTCGGCAAAGGCTGAACTTGTCAAGGCCGCTACATACTGGCAGTCACGCCCGGCTAGCTCAGCTGTCTCACTCCTCGAAGAGGCTGGCATCGAACTAATGAAGTCATCCAACGCCCAGGATTTGCAACTCGCGGGCACTTCATTCCAGAAACTAATCGATGAGCGGAAGGGCTCGGACATTGCTGCAGCTGGCCTTGTCGCATCCTTGGCTCCCTCAAACCCCTCTCGTGTGGAAAAGCACCTCCAGAACCTCCCTCCCGTGGATTCGCTTATCGAGGGCATCGATGTAACAGCTCTCCTCAGCGCTGGTGTTGCCACCGCAGCCAGTAAGACAGGTTTCTCAACTTTGAAGCGCTCCGCTCCTTCAGGACCATCCGAAAAGACAAGCAAGCGACGCAGAAAGATCCGCCTTCCCAAGAACTATGTCGAGGGTACCAAGCCCGACCCTGAGCGCTGGCTGCCTTTGCGTGACAGAAGCTCGTACCGCCCCAAGGGCAAGAAGGGTAAGAAGAAGGCTGTTGATTCAACACAGGGAGGAATCGTGAAGGAAGAGGAGACTCTGGAGCTTGTAGGCGGAGGAGGTGTCAAGGTTGAGAAGGCGCCTCCGCCCTCCAAGAAGAAGAAGAAGGGTAAGAAATAGTACAGCAGTTTACGGATACTGCATATGCATATATTACTCTGTTTCAGTATGATATTCTTGACCACTGATATGGGTTTTCCATCCATGTATACGCCCTGGCTCTATCGGTGCAATTCCCCCTGGCTGTCATCAAAGTCAAAAGAATGGATGATGTTATGTATGCACATTCACTCAATTTCGATTCGACTGAAAAATCAAAGATTGATTTCTAACGCTGACTTTTAATGCTCTGCCCAAACCCTGGTGCAAGCGAGTACAAATGAACAAAAGGCCTCGACCACTATAGAATATCTAGAAACATATGTCCACGTCATCACCCCCTTGACATGAGTCCACCACGCTCGGCATCTCACGTCTGCTTCTTCTGTGGCCACTCGATAACACAAGTATAAAACGAAGGTATTCACAACGCCCGTCCCAGCAAGCCCCAATTCTATATAAATAAACGTCATACGCGCGGACTATACTCCACACGAGAGCCCTCCATATCTTCCCAGTATCAGGCGTTAACGGGCTGCATGGGCCGGCTCGGAAGCTGCTCTATATCCTGAAGTGACTCAGAATCCGAGTCTCGACTGTCAAGATCGTCCTTCTTGATGCTTCGGCCTCTTCTTAAACCGGCACCGTCTGACTCCTCGTCCGTCTCTGTCTCCATAGGAGGCAGGGGACTGCGGCGCCCATCTGAGAAGCTGACTGCAACCTCACTCTCCGTATCCGACGGTATTGTTAATCTACCGCCAGCTGATGTGCTTCTAGCTGCTTGGGCGGTCGAATACTTCCTATGCAGTTCGCGGAAGCTTCGTGCGGTTGCAGTGCTTGCACTTGCGATGGATTCCCTACGCTCGCTCGACTCCACCGGCACACCAACGGCAGAGTAGAAGTCTTCATCCTCTGGCCCACTAGGCATTGGCGACAGCTGAGGATCTTGCTGCTGTGAGGACTTTCGAGCACGGATTTTCTCATCGTGGGTCATATTCTGCAGGCCATCACCGAAGTTAATGACTGATGCTTTCTTACCATGCACCACGAAGCTCCCCGTGCCTCTGGAAAGTTGATGCTCTTGGGTCGATTCTTCCCCTGACCCAGCGACCTCCTTGCCCTTGCGGCTGCCACGGTGGTGCGAGAGATGCCCAGCGCCCTCTCGAAGAGTGCGTTGGAGACTGCGGCGAATTTTGCTCCTGTCACCCTTGTCTGTGGATGTCCCAGACTCCCCAGGTACATCAGCACCTGTTGAAACAGTTGCTTTGTCTGTAGGGTCACGGCTGGGTCGTTGCTCAAGTAGGCCGGCCTGCTCCAGGAAGTCTTGTTCATCAGCGTCAGGATCATGGTTTCCGTCGTCCTCCTTGCGCAATGGCGGCTTGTTACTTTCATCTTGGGCCGAAGGGGGTTTTGCTAGCGGTGTGGAAGGGAGGGATGCTATGGGAGACTGGGCGATACTAGATATTGACCCATGCCTGGTGCTAGCAGCTTCTGGTCGAACAAAGGAGAGATCGCGTGAGCTATGCCGGCGTTTAGTGGCACTCTGAGGAGGTGTTGTGAAGACCTGGTCCAGAGGTGAATCGACATCCTCTGTGACTTCGGCTGTGTTAGGGACTTGGACGACCTGAGGCTCGGTGGGTGTTCTTGGGCCGGCCTCGGTTCCAGAATGATGCGTTGACCGCGATCCTCTACGTCCCACGTTGCCCCGTGGCGTAGGTGACCCTGTTCTCTGTGAAAGTCGGTTTGACTGTTGCTTGGTAGGAGTAAAGGTCGAGGATGGGTGTTCTTCTTCGAGATCCTGTATCAAGATATCACGGTGGCATTTGTGTTTCCACATATCTTGACGCGTCCACTTGAGCTGAGCGGATATCCGTGCAGCAGCAGATAAAAGCTGTTCCCTCGTTCTTGGCTGGATGGGCGCGAGGATTAGCAGGTGGCGTGCGTTCCTGAGCTGGTGCTCCAGCTGTTTCTGAATCTCCTGCACATGTTCATCTGCTTCAGCAATCTTCTGCTTCATCACGTCTCTTCGAGCAGCTGAGATATCTTCGGCCATTTTATGGTCTATTCGACTCCTCGCGATTGACACTGGCCCGGTTGGTGTCTGGATGAGAGTGGCAGCATCAGCGCTATCCAATCGACGTAAACCTCGGCGACTCTGTCCGTCATAGTTGCCGCCAATGACACCACGCATCTTAACACCCGTAGTCCGGAAGGCGGCAGCATAATTGAGTTTCGCGAGCCAGTCGTTCATTTCTTCTTCATTATCTGCCAATAGCACTTCTTCTAGACCACCCTGCCGCACGTAGACGAAAGCGTTCTTGTGCTTCTTATACGCCGTATCATGGAGGGCCACGGCAGCATAAGTTGACATGAGACCGTCTGGTTTGAACTCTTGAAGTGGAGGTGTGAATATCAACGGTGTTCCATCATGTCCCGCCTTGATGTGGTTCTCATACTGATGCATTAGAGACTTCACCCAGCCTGTGTTGCGGAAGAAGTAGAGCTGCGCCCCAGTAAGAATGGCGCCCCATTCCTGCCACGGAGACCTTGCCTTGCGTTTCTTCGCCTCTTTCCGCCAAAGTAATCCAACCTTGGTGACCTTGATGTCGACGATACCGGGATGTGCCTCGGCCGGGTTGCTAGCTGTCTGTTCCGTCATGAAAGCGTCGGGTCGAGACCGGGCCGACACGATCTGCAGTACACCTGTTCTAAAAAACGTTTTCTGCAAGTCCTTCAAGTTCAGGCTAGTCGCAGAGCCTAGGTAATTGTAGTGATCCTCCAGCTCCATGGCATCTTTCAAGTTTGGTCTCAGAGCATCAAGGCTTCCGTCCAAGATCAGGGTATAGGGATCGATAGGCTCCTTGACAGCTCGTTTTGCGGGGTCGTTTACTGTAGAGGAGATCAGAGGTTTTCGTCGAGATTTATGTGAAGCATAGCGGTCGCTTGTAGGGTCTAAATCATCCTCAACGTGAATAAAAGGGGTATAAGTTATGTTATCATAAAAACATTCCAGAATGTCGTCAAATATGCCCTCTCCGTTTGTGTTCTTCAGGTAATCAGCTTTTTGCATTTTGTGCTTGTTATTCTTGTTGAAAACATCGGTATGTAGAATGAGTAGGGAAAATGCAATGAAGTACGCCTGATCAGGCGATGAGTAAATGCCTGGGTTACACTCATGATAGCGGTTAGCAAACGCTTGTAAGCAGCGGTCGATCTGCTGTGTTTCCTTAGGTAGCTCAGCTTCCATGAGCAGTTTCCGAATAGCCATATCCATAGGATCACCAAAGAAGCTAAAACTGCGCATGTAGCTCCGAAGGACTGAAGTCATGAATGGATCAGCGCTTTTTGAAAGAGTCGCAGCAATGATGCCTCGGCTGGCAACTTCTTCGACCCGCGCAAGGTACTTGGCAGGTGATTCATCTTCATTGCGTTCTGGAAGAACAAAGGAGTCCCTGGCAAGCTGGAGTGAGTTGTTTTTAGATCCAATGGAACCGGGGGTCGTAGGAGTCATCGTGCCCTGGCGACTAAGTTCTGAGTTCTGCCGCAAACGACTGAGGCCAAACAAATCACCGAAGCTTTTACGACCAGTAGAGGACGACGTTCGTGTCGTCGGCGGTAGAAGGTGATCGTCATTAGAGTCACGGCCCATCGAACTCATAGTAGAGGACCTTCCTCTCAACAGATCGCCCCTAGTGGGTGAAGAATGCCCCGACTGAATCCCCCCAGGTGCCACCAGAGTAGTCGCAGGTGATTGGCCTGACCTCAAATCGGAATCTCCTTTGGTAGTGTTTCCGCCAGCTGTTCGGCCGCTCTGGGCGGAAGCTGGACGTGGGGTCGTGGAAATTCCAAGGGATGAAGCCGAGGAAATGCCTGGGGGTGCTTTTCCTTGCTGTTGAAGATGCGCAAATGGAAAGAGAGGCTCTGGTGCTTTCTTATGCCGTCGCAATCGAAAGAACGGGCCTGATTTCTTGGGTGTCGTCTCCGGACTCTGATAGGACGAACTCTGGTGAGACAAGCGATCGTTGGAGCTAGCATCAGACCTGGATGACTCGGAAGGGCGGTTTGGAGGTGTTAAGATTGTACCATTAGGACTACTTGTTGTAGCTGTTGTCGATGGTCGCGGGGATTCAGGTTCCTCCAGTGTAGCGAGCGTGGGGCGCCTTCTGTCATCAGTAAAGGATTTCCGAAGTGTCTTCTGGCGTCCCGTTCCATTGTTGGTGTTGACGTCCTCACGGGGTAAATCCGTCGAGCGACGGAACCTGGCAGTCAGGCCTATCCGTGACGACTTCTTTCTCGGCCCATTGAAGTCGTTTGTTGGAGCGGTGGTAATGATTTCGGGTGCTAAGTCGAACACATGTTAGCTAAGCATGTCCCAGCTTCGAAGTACGGTAGATAGGGGTGTGTTACGTCGCGGAACGGGCGGCGGCTTCTCGGATTGTTGCTTGGCTCGTAGAGACAGTTGAGAATCACTCGCGTTTCGGAAACGCAGGACGGAGAAGCGATGATGTTTGCTGTTTTCTTCTTGTATAGGAGGGGTGTCTGGGCGACTTCCAGGGCGACTCTCGGTTTGACTCTGGGGGAGGCCTTCAGGACGGCTAGTTGTTGATTCGCGAGCTAACTCACGAGGTTGCTGCGGGTGGGAAGACTCTCCAGGTCCTTGTCCGTCGTCATCGCTGTGGTCGGGCTGAGAAGGAACTGGAGGAGGAAGATCGCCGGATGCGCTGGGTTCGAAGAGTGTATGTCGGCGTTTTTCAGTGTCATCAGACAAGTTGCCTCGGCGGCGACGAAAAGCCATAACGGCGACTGATCATGGTACGCAGCCAGCCCAGGCGTTGTCAAGACCAGGCGACGTCGGTGAGAGAGCGTGCCAGTTGAGGGCGGCAGGCGTCTCACGACCTACCAAGCGAAAGGCTGGTACCCAGTCGCGGTGGTGTTCATTGAGACAACTCGAGGTGCCTAAATCGATGATAAGAATTCAGCAAGAGTGAATGTCGCGTGAAAGGTCCGGATTGTGAGCGTTGTCGATGCAGCGTAGTAGTTAGTACTTAGGTTAGTAGTTAGGTAGTTGGAGGTTGATCCGTTTTCGATCACTTCCATTGAGCATTCGCTTTCCGCGGGAGCTTTCCCACCAAAGCCAGGGGCTGCTGGTCGTGGCAGCCTCAATTAACCCAGCCCAGCCCAGCCCAGCCCAGCCCAGCGCATGTCAGACTACCGATGCACAGTGTCCAGACCCACTGCTACAGTAGGTAAGGCATGCGGCTGGGAGTAGGGGGTTCCTGAAAGACCCGCTGTAAAAGGCCCTTCGGGTGCAAAGAAGCTAGCCCGCTGGATTATTAGTGTGGCTGGTGTAAGGAGGTGATGATCGAGAAACATTGTCCTAAGTATGGGCTGAAATTACAGCTTAGGCATCACTACCATTTCTTTTTTGATATCTTTTGATCCCATCTACCCATCTCTGGTGACTATTGTAGACAGTATGTCTGTAACGTGGCGATACGCGCAACGTAAGCCTAAGTACTTACGTACCTAGGCAGTAATATACAGTATAATCAGCACTGGTGGTCACTTAGATGTATCCTCTGGCATCATTAGGTCGACGAGAGAGTATGGATACAAATGTTGATTCTAGACTATTTCTCGTAAATTTTTTTTGAAACTGAGACCGAGAATCCGAACTTGCTCTGACAGCCTCAGAGTAAGTAAGCCAGCAAATAGATTCGACAGTTTTTGAAAAATGAACGATAACTTCATATTGTTTATTGATATGCACTAGCGAGTCCTAAGAACAAGTGTTCCATGTTTCAATATCTCCCTGCCCGTAATATACCCAAGGCCACGCCACATGGAGAAAGTGTCAACATGGGTGGCTTGGTCTTTGTATAATGGTTATAAGGTAATTTTGCTATATTACTCAAGCGACATATTCTTGGTCCTTGTTCAGATCGCCCTTGAATCCCAGTATATAAATGTGTGCAACTAGGTACCAGTTAAAAGCTGTATAGGTAGGATTCGTGATAAATGAGGTCCCAATGTCCATTTCTGTGTCACTTCGTATTAAACTAAGCATTTATGAGTTCTTTTACATGTTCGCATAAACAGCTTGTTGTATCCGACTACGTTCTTAAAATCCAGTATTGTTTTATTTGCTTCAATTCTGATGCTTCCAACGCTTTGTGAAAAACTACCTTACCTACATACTTGTCTGAATGGATGGACCAATAATGACTCCCACGTCAGCCCCACATAAACCAGCAACAAGCGTCAGGCTGCGTGCGTTATCATCCAGGCTAACTAGAGGCAGTGTAATCTTCAAACATCGTCACTCATAAATTGATAATTGTCGCTATATCCGTCATACAAAATCGTCAAATATTCAGCTGGGGGCTGATAGTCCTCCAATCCAATCCCGGCCACTTCAGGCAATCAGTGTCAATTGATCGAGTCGGCTGCGCGTTCTCTTATAAGACGCAAGATGAGGTTACCTTTACTGGCAGCGAGTATGCTGCTTCTGCAGGCCTCCAGCGCCCACGCCGCTGGTATCGATACACATCGTGCCGTCCCAGATTTACAAAATAACGAGAATAATAATAATGACGCGAACAAACGACTATTCCCTTTCCTTTCTAAACTTCGCGACAAGGCTATCGAGACCGTCTTTGGACGTCATCCGAGTAAAAACACCCCGCCGCCCGTCATCAATCAACTACGCGCACAATACCTCAATCAGTTGGTCCTGCGCTTCAACGTCACTACCTCGCACGAAGAGGGAGCCCTTGCCGATGCCGCTGCTCGACTGTTTCTCGATGTCTGGGCCTTTACCGATGACTATGTCGACATCCGCCTACACGCTGACGAGGTTCGACCTCTGCTGAGCTTGCTTCCCAAGACGCTACATGCATCGCACTCGATTCTGATCCCGGATTTGGCCGCCGCCGTCTATAAATCACTGCCTATCGGAGGAAACCCAGCTTATTACGATCCCAAGCCCGCCCCTCCGGTCCTCAAAGCCGCTTCTTCGCCTGGAGACAACCTCTTTTTCCAGGATTACCAGTCTCTGCCAGTCGTGATGAGATGGATGCGTCTCCTTGAGGCTATGTTTCCATCCTACGTCAAGTACATTAACATCGGCAAGTCATACGAAGGCCGCAATATTCCTGCCCTGCGAGTGGGGATTCCGAACACAGCACCGGATGCGCCTCGGCGCAAAACAATCATGATCATGGGCGGCTCTCATGCCCGCGAATGGATCTCAACGAGTACTGTCAACTATCTGGCGTGGTCCTTCATCACTAGCTATGGTAAAGAACGGATGATCACAAAGCTGTTGGATGAGTTCGACTTGGTCTTCCTCCCAATTGCGAACCCTGACGGTTTCGAGTATACCTGGCATATCGATCGGCTCTGGCGCAAAACACGACAACAGACTAACCTTCAGTTTTGCCGTGGACTGGACCTGGACCGAGCTTACGGGTACGAGTGGGATGGCTCACAGGTTCAACGGGACCCATGCTCTGAGAGTTACGGAGGAGAGAAGCCTTTTCAGGCCGTTGAAGCGGTGCACATTGCCGATTGGGCGCGGAACCAAACCTGGAACAATAATGTTCGATTTGTCGGCTTGATTGATTTACATTCATACTCTCAGCAAATTCTCTATCCTTACTCTTACACTTGCTCTGTCGACCCTCCCAATCTGGAGAATTTGGAAGAGCTTGCTGCAGGTATTGCGAAGTCTATCCGTCTATCAAATGGAGAGTCGTACACGGTCGCATCAGCGTGTGAGGGTGCGGTCTCAGCTCGCGAATTCAGCGGTGGTCGTTACTGGTCTCGCATCGAATCTGGCGGTGGATCAGCTGTCGACTGGTTCTATCATGAAATGCGAGCCCACTACAGCTACCAGCTCAAGCTTCGAGATACCGGTAGCTACGGCTTTCTGCTTCCCAAAGAACACATTGTTCCAACGGGAGAAGAGATATTCAATGCGATGAAGTATTACGGAGACTATCTCTTGGGTAACAATGGCATCGAGTCCATTACTGAGGCCGAAGAGGATGACAAGGTGGAGATGCATGAAAATCAGCCAGTCCAAGATTCTGAGCAAAACCCGACCGTAGGACAGGAGCTAAGAAGGAGAAGGCTTCGTAGGTGAAGCTGATGTATGTTTGTACGGGATGCAGGAGGGTGTTGGATAGGGATTTGGTATGAGATTTACGATTGAGCATTATGATTTAATTTTCTTTATTTCTTTTTGGAATTGGTCAAGTTGCATGTATTAATGGATTGACATGTACGCAGGCGTCTAATGGTCACAGCAAAAAGCAGGAAATAGCAACGATGGGGAATTCGTGGCAGGTCTAGTTAAGTAAAACAGAAACTAATATCATGCATATATCACATCTTTTCAAAACCTGTCCGTCTGTCCGACTTAGTTGCCCAGGGCAAACATGATGGAAGTATAGGCGGCCATGCACTTGAGCGACGTATCGCAGAGGAAAGAGCCGATTGAGCCACTAGGTTCGTCAAGTTAGCAAATATCACAAGATGGAGACTGCCTCAGTAGGTATACATACCCCAAGCGTCCCTTGGGGCCACCAGCAGAGTAGCCAATGGCGTAGAATACACGAGAGAAGGCCCAGCCAGCACCAAGAACGGCAGAGGCAACGGGGAAACGAAGACCAGAGATCAGAAGAGCACCAAGGAAAGAGATCTGGTTCTCGGTGAAGTTGGCGTGCGAGCGCTGGGCTGTAGAAGAGAGTTAGTACTTGAGACTTGAGACTTGGGTTTCGTGGGTGGTACAAACCGCAGTTGAACTTGAAGGCCTCGGCGTCCTTCTCAGCGAGCTCATTGGAAGCATAGGCGACGGGGTATTTGATACCACTTCGCTTGCGAGCCTTGCTAGTGAGGAGAACGTGGAGAGTGTTGATGAAGAAGGTGGATGTGGCGGCCACGAGGACGAGGCTAAGAAGAGTGTCAGTTGTTTGAGGTTGAGGTTGAGACAGTGGGATTGCGCCTTACCCGTATTCAGCGGGGAGCTCAAGAACGAGAGACATGATGGAGAGAAGATGGGTTGACTACGAGGAGTATGAAACTGAATGCTAGATAGTTGTGTAATGGCAAGAGTTGAGCTGGTACGGTCTTGTCAAGGTGTGGTTCTTAAATAGTGATTAATAGGTTCCCAGTAACGGGATGATGAAACTACCAACGGAACGGACCTAACGTGTCCGGGAGAGTCAGGTTAGCTCCACCAGGGGGAACAATCCACCGACTAAGGTATTCTCGTTGTCTCGAGTCAAGTCTATGCCATGGCCAATAAAGCACAATCGGAGGGTTCTAATCCCAGGCAGTTGCGGGAAAACATATCAATTCTGTCCAGTAAATAGGTGCTGTGTGTATAAGACAAGTCATCATCCACTCTTGTTCAGCCTCGGAGTATCGCTCATGCGGGCGAGATCCGCTCCGCGCGACGAACCGAATAGAAATTTGACGGACGTATTTGATGACGAGAGCAATCCCCGAGTCTTGATTTTCGTACTGTGATCATATTTCGGATTTCAATGCCGTCGGCTTAATTGGATCATCCGATCCATTGGGTGTGAGGTTGAAAGTTGAAAGCTGGCGTAATTGGCATGGGTCTAAAAACCAAACTCCGCAGCTACCAATGCAGGTACAAGCCAAAACTCCGCAGGGTACTTACTGTACTCCATATGCTCGAGGGGCAATGCATGATGATGACTGCCTCCGTATCAACATGACAATATCGATTGTCTGACTTTTTCCAGAAACGCCAGTGGATCGACT